CCTAATTATTCTGACAAAACTATCCTTGTCAACGACATTGCTAATTTTTTTGAGTAAGATCAATACAATCCGTTCAAACATTGATGCTTTGAGCTTATCGTGCTTGAAAGACACAGTGCCTGAGGATCTTGAAATCGGCCCTCAAAAAGTTTCGTCGTATTTTAAACCTTTAACAGAGGCTGCCATCTGTAAACTCATTCAATCGTCTGCAAACAAGTCCTGCGCCTTGGATCCAACGCCTACTCCGCTAGTCGTCTCGTGTCTTGACGTTCTTCTTCCCGTCATAACAACGATTGTTAACTCTTCCCTTCTCCATGGCCACTTCCCTTCTAACCTGGAAGGAAGCAATTGTGACTCCTATTCTGAAGAATCCTAGCCTGACATCTGAGTTCTCCAACCTTAGACCCATCAGTAACTTACAGTTTATCTCAAAATTGACTGAGCGCGCCGTCTTTGATCAGCTACAAACTCACATGTTGGACCACGCTTTATATCCCCTGCTACAATCTGCCTACAGAAAATCGCACAGCACTGAGACAGCATTAATAAAAGTTCAGGATAACATCTTGATGAACATGGACCGTCAGCAAGTAACTCTACTTGTCATGATTACTCGATCTCAGTGCCGCGTTCGACACCATAGACCATCAAGTACTATTAAATCGCCTTAGGTTGAGTTTTGGGATACGTGGATATGCGTTAGAGTGGATCGCGTCGTATCTTTCTGACAGGACACAACGTGTTTCTTTTGAAAATAACTTCTCTCAGAGTCGTTATCTGTCCTGTGGTGTACCCCAAGGACCCTGCCTCGGTCCGCTGTTATTCACAATGTATGCGAGAAAGCTCTTTGACACCATCAAAGGTCATCTTCCTCGGACACACGCCTATGCAGATGACACTCAATTGTATCTATCATTTAAGCCTGACTCTACATCTTCTCAAAGCAACGCAGTGGACGCTATGGAACGCTGTATCAGCGCCATCAGATGTTGGATGATTAAAGATAAGCTTAAAGTAAATGGTAGTAAGACAGAATTTATACTGATCGGATCGAGACAACAGCTCGCTAAAGTTGACAGCAAGGAGTTGGTCGTTGGTGACGCTACTATCAGTCCTGTGACTGCCGTTAAAAACCTTGGATCGTGGTTTGATGAAAACATGAACATCGGCTGTCATATGAACAAGATGTGTAAGACCTTGTCTTTTCACCTGTATTAAATCAGACGCATCAGAAAGTATTTATCTAAAGACTCCACACAAACACTCGTTCATGCATTCATCACCGCACGTATTGATTATTGCAATGGTTTGCTGTGTGGTCTACCAGCCGCACATCTCAACAAGTTGCAACGTATTCAGAACAATGCTGCCCGTCTTGTTTGATCCCTTTCTCGTTTTTGTCATATAACTCCTACTTTGTTTTCCTTGCATTGGTTACCTGTCTGTTTCAGAATTGAATTCAAATTACTTATTTTAGCGTTCAAGGCTATCCACGGGCTGGCACCTCAGTACATTACGGATCTAATTAACATCAAGCAACAATTCGGACGTATGATGTTACGATCTCAGTCTGAACTACATTTATTGCTACTCAGGACTATAACTAAGAAAACTTTAGGTGATAGATCATTTATGGCATCTGCTCCTAAACTTTGGAACAGATTGCCATCAAATATAAAAGCAGTAAAGGATTTTAATTGTTTTAAAACACTTCTTAAAACACATCTCTTTAAACAGGCATTTTCATGATTGCTTTTATAGTTCGTTTTCATATTTTATTTTTTGCTTAGTCTTATTGTATAGCGCATTAGATCGTATCCACATGTATTTTGCGCTATATAAGTAATAAATTATTATTATTAAATTATTATCTTAATAGTGCTGTCGGGGAAGAACATAAATAAACTTCATGACCGAAAGAGAGCATCCAACGTCTTTGGAGAAATATATCTATCTTCTGGTGGGAGGTGATCCCCATCTACCTTACATTACACTGATTCAAAATCACCAGTCCAAGGATACAACGCTGAAGACAAGGAATTATTACTCTTGAACAAACATGGACGACCAACTAAGAAATACGCCTGTAAGCAGTGGCGTTTTTAGCAAAGCTAAAAAAAAAATTGCAAAAGAGCGCACAGACCATGGACAGGCAACTTGCACCGACATGAAAGGCACTTTACCAAGTTTTTCTTACAATGATTCAGTCTCGATTGTCTCTAAAGAAAGATCTAAAGCTCACACCAAATCTTTGACGTTAATGGTCTCAAGCTTCAGCGTCGTACTAGTCGGTCAGTCAAGCATAGATCAAGTCAAAAATAATCATTGCTGTGGCCAAAAAAAGCTTCCTAAAGAAGCGCAAGCGCATTGCCGAAAGACAGACTCGGGTGAAATTGCTTCCACCAGTGTTGAAAAACCGATGCCCGTAATCAAGAAACAAGGATATCTCAAAGGACCACAATGTCAGAGAATCCTGGATTTTGCAAGACAGTGAACAATTTGACGAACAGGAGCACTTAGTCACAATGTTGCTTCAACTTTGTTCTAATGGAAAAAAAACCTGACTTGGGGTTGGCTTTAGAAATAGAGCGAGTAGTGGCCTTTTCTTATCAGAAAGAGTCTAGAAGAGCAAGTGTATGTTTACCTCAGTCATACAATCAGACAAAAACAAAACGTGTCGTGTACTTAATTCGAATATTCTGATGGCAAGAGCCTACTTTTTACTTGTGGCTGATATAAGAACAAAAAAACCCGTGAAGTTACCTCAGCTCTTTGAATACCTTAAACGCAGCGAGTTTTTGTTGCAAAACTACGACTCACCGGAAGATTGGGCCGAACTCTACCATAAATACGGTCACCTTTGACTGGATTGCATGAGTCTTATACCGGGTGACAGCGGAATGCACAGGCACATATAACCGGCAAAGAAAATGCAAGTTCTATCTTGAGCAAGCTATCTCTTACAGCCAAAAGGATCATCGACTGAGGGTCCAGGTCAAAAGGCAGAGATACACTTATCTCAGTCTTGCAGCATTACTCCTAATTTGTGTTTCAACTGCCACGCGAAACCAAACGAAAGCTTTTCCATTAAGTGACATAAACGAAGATGAAGAACACCTCAATTCCATTCAGCATGATTCTGATGACAGTATCCCCACAGGCACAAGAGTACTGCTCTTTAAAAAAACGATGGGATCAGTTTTGTCGCCAAGGTCTTCTGAAACTTGCAAAGGAGAGAACTGAGGAGGCTCTTAATCTCGCCTCCTCCCACACATTTAACACCGAATTAGACCCTCTGCAAAGACGTATAACGTTTCTCGACGATAAAATTGAAAAAAACCAGCTAGTTATTCCTACGGAACTCGAGCAATCAAGTAGCGAAACCTGTTGCAGTGAATAGAGATTGGCAAGATGGATAGAGATGTCGATACAAAAAGCAAATCTAGTGCAAAAGGTTCGCGCCACAAAAATGAATAAATAAATAAATGCTCCAAAACTATTTGGGAACAAAATTAAAGTCCAATAAGATGGCCTTCGTGGCGATTTCTCTTACTTAGCCGACGCAGATTAAAATTAACATCACGTCATTCAATTTCCTGACAAAACTGACACGGATTGTCGCCTGGTAAGATAGTTATGTTTTCATTGTTAAGCAGTTGACTCACCTCGTTCAACAGCAAAGGAAAGTATAAATGATGTACTGATATAATGCCTGATGACTCACGCGACGAATTTTTGTCGGAAAACGAACTTGGGGGATGCAAAAACTAAGCCACTATCTACGCACCTACGTTGGCATTTGCCAGCAGTCGCTAACAGTCGCCTGGGTTATTATATCGTATTGCGTCAGTACTGCAGCAAGCCGTACTTAGCAGTAATAGAGATATTAAGGGAATTTCCCTTTTAATTACAATAACCCTATTGATATGTAAATTGCATTTATGTGGGCTGAATACTTAAACTTTAAAGTTTTTTTCGCACGGGATCTCTCTGATAAAAGTTAATTTTTCAACCATAATTTAAAGAAACCCTCGCTGCAAACAGATCGAAACAATTATTTTTCAATTAAAAGAGGAACTCGCAAGCCCTTGTTGAATCACATCCGAAGGAAATAGCTACATAGTCGGAGAACCATTTCGGACATGTTAACATCGACAACGAACTACAAAAAGTATCCATTTGGATATTTCGTAAGTCCCCCTGTATTTCATTGCAAAAATCTTTTGAGCAAAGGCCTTTTACGGTCTAGTTGAGGCAGGATGTGGTTTGCATTTAACAACTGAAAGCTTTTTAGAGGTGGCAAGTAGGAAAAGTACATCACGATTTTTCAAACCTTCTGGAGAGCAAGGAAATTGCTGCGAGTTATCACTGGCTTTGAAAATGCTGGTTAGAATTGCACTGCTTGATCAGTGAGGGGAATTCAGAATTTTGTTTTAATTTATCATGAGCTTTTTGAAACCGAGGCTCCTCGAAAAATCGTATCAATGTATTTCCTGCGAAAAGCCCTGACTAGTGAATATTTATGAAAATTATACAAATTAAGAAAAAGATCGCGATTATTTTCTTGCACAGAACCATTAGTGTTACTCTCTGGCGCCCTCTAGAGGCCTAATCACAATGACACGATCACAATGGCATTCAAAGATTCCTTTTCAATAGTTATAAGTAAAAATGAAGGTTTTCAAAAAGTGGTAAAGTTATATTATAAGTAGATACCTTTAAATCAGTTAAATTACTGTTATAGTGAACGGAAGCCTCTGAGACAAGTTGACGAGTTGGAATAATGCAAATCACTGAGATTGTACTTGTAGCATAGTTTCAACATTCATTTGTCTCTCTTTTCTTGCGATGCAACGTGCACAGGAATAAAGTGAAGGGTACACTTCATCGTATGGCCGCGTCTTGCTCGGTAATCCCTATTGGCAAAGTGGCTACAGTCAACAGTCTTTGCAATTTTTCTTTGTGGACGGGATGGTTGACCATCCACAGACATCTCTCTTTTATAATATACCGTCGCATACTCCGAGCCCAACGATACACTTCAGAATGTCTTCTTCCTGAAAAAGGAAAAAAATTATAAATAACTGTAAATTTCCTTCTCGTCAAAGATCTTGCGGGTCCGAGATGGACCTTTAATCTTTTACATATAATTCAGGAACTTAGTGCCGGGACTAAATAAGGAAGCAAATTAAGATACTCACTACTTTCTCCTGGAACTACCGACCCAAGCAACTTTTCCAAAGTGGACGAAGTCTCCAGTGGTGTACATGCATAAGTTACCCAGGAAGACTTTTTACGGCGACTTTTTCCGTTTATTGACGTACCTGTGAGCTATTTTTTAAATCTGATTAGTTCGTTTTGTCACACCTATACGCCTCCGATGGCTGGGTTCAACAATTATTGTAGAGCCTAAAGTTAGCTAACATCGAGGGTCAGTTCGCTACGCAAAAAGAAGACTTCCTCGAAGGCATTACCATTTCCACCGTGTTCAAGACTTCTTCGGTAAGAACAGGTGTATCAGGCGCAATTCTTCGTCTGACGTACGGTGAGTGCACTGGGCACTGATTTAAGATGGCCAGAGCTACCACTAATGCCGACCCACCCCAACTTGAAACACCCGAGGTATTCAAATGGTCAGTGGTAACCGTAGTAGCAATGTGTCGTCCATTTGTAACGCCATCGACGACCCTTTGGTGGACCTTTCCCATTCCGATCTCATTACCACCATCACCGATTCCGACTGTGGAAATTTTTCCTGACTTTTTAGCTGAAAGAGAGAAATGAGGTCCATATAAAATATCTTGTTGAGAGAAGTCTTCTAATTCTGTCACCGTTATGAGAGATTTTATGGTAAATGAGTTTAAAAAGATTGCTCTGAGTGAGGTCCTTATGTTATAACATTCTTTTGTTTTGATAATTAAAGCGTATGGAGACAAATTTCATCGAATAAATTCTTCGAAATCGATTAATAGTCAGACTAACTTCTTTTGACAAGTTGGTGATTCTCTAGCAAATTAACATTAACTAGTCGGGAAACGGCATTTACATATTACCCTGAGAGTTGTTACAATGTCATAAATGTCTCAAACACTTAAATGAAAAGGGCTCCACCTTTTAACTGACGATTGGGAGCATGACTGAATATCTTGGCACAGGGTTAGTAAATACACTTCCCATTAACTAATAATTATAGCTACCTTGAATGAGAACTTCGTCCACTGGACTGACTTTACAAATATCGGACAAGTCCCTTGCTTTCATACTCATGTAACGGCCCTCTTCTGTCCTACCACTACTTCTAGAGCAACCAAAACGTCAGACTTTGGACTCTTTTAATTCGCTGGATTGTGAAATGGCAACTTTTGAGCAGCTGCTCTGACTCCGCCAGAGCTATGTGTCCGTTACGGCGTGAACTCCTCAACACAAGCCATGTTTCCCAAAAATGTTTCGACAAGTACCTGCAATAAATGTCACCTCTTTTCCAAGGGTTTTGAGATCTTTACCAAGTGCAATTGCCCCAAGAGGATCATCTGTTTCATCTGGAAACTCATTATTGGTATTGCAAGGAAAACCGAAATGTATTCCTACAGATGACGAACGTGACAAAACGAGTGCAGCCCGCAGAAGCTCGTCAGCATTGTGAAGTTTAGCGATGCCCCTTTCTCCGATGTTGTCTTGAATCTCTCTTTCGAGACCACGAAACCTGATAACTGCGCTTTCTGAAACCAAAGGAGCAGTGAAAGGTTTGTCTTTTAATGTTACTACTCGTGGCTTGGTATCTGCATGAACAGGTGGAATTCTGCTACAGTTGTATCACATACGATCAACCGCTCCATATTGTCAGTAAAGGTCAGCGACAAGCCTGTTGGAGAGAGAGTTAAGATCTTTTTCATCTTGTCACGAGCGTGGGACAAAGAAAAAATTCTGAGTCCCCATGAAGAATTGAACCTCAAATCTTCGGATTTCGCGCTCCGATACTCTACCACTGAGACACAGAGACTACGGTGAGCGAGGTCTATTAAGAAGTTTACATGACACGCGTCCCGCATACTGCTAGGATCAGCGATGTCGATAGCGTCATATTTGTAAAATAGAAAAAGAGAGATGGTAAGTTTTGAGCTCGGTAAAAAATAAGAGAAATATGTTTTCGTCTTGCCACGAGCGTGGAACAAAGAAAAAATTCCGAGTTCTTGCTGAATGAGGAACGCGTGTTCGATTCCTCATCGGGACTCTGAATCGTTTCCTTGTCCCACGTTCGTGACAAGACGAAAAACATCTTTCTCTATTTCTTTACCGAGCTCAACACTTACCATCTCTCTCATTTTATTTTACTCAGATGAACTCACCAAATTAATAATCGCTTTATATTTCACAAGCTACGTGCAGAAATCAAGTTAGATTTTGAGTCCTCTTTCTTTTCTTGAAAAGGCAAACTGAGAGGTTTAACTCGTGAGATCTACTCCTTAGCGCTTCATCAACATCTAGTGCCGATTATGAGACAGGGAGTTTAAAATGACGTCCATGGAATCATTCAAAATCGTCAGATTATTTCTAAAATTTACTTTACACTTTTAAAACGTCTCCAAATCTCACGTAAATTTAAAGACTGCAACTAAGAAAATATCCAGCAGTTGCTTGAATTCAGAAAATTGGAAAACATTTCAACATTTCTAATCCCTTAGAGCGATAGTTAACAAATAGAGAAGCCTTGACTATGCTCTGTTCTGTTATAAAGCACGCGGGAAGCGGTTAGAGCACTCAAGAAGTGTAGGGAGAAACACTAAACGTAGTCGAGTGTTTCTCCCCACTTCTTTCGTGCTCTAGCCGCTTCCCGCGTGCTTTATAACAGAACAGAGCATAGTCAAGGCTTATCTACTTGTTTTATAATGAAGAATCCGTTAAATTCCTCACGCATTACTTTCAATTTTCAAAACAAACTTTATTTCCAAAGCCAACAATAGTGTCGTCAACATGCTCTATACTCTCATAAAAAACGCCACAATAAGCCAATCAGAATCCCTGTTAGAATGGTTCAAATAATCTAATTGGCTGTACAAGAATGAAGCTGTCAAAAATTTCAAACCATCATAGTTCACATTCTGCAATAGTTTACAAACTTATTAGTTCAGCAAGTTGAACTTAATTCTTTCGTCTGAAGCCTTTACGTCTCTAATACAGAATCTGAAAGTGAAATGTTAAGTAAAATCCGGCCGAATTGTGGCTCATAAAACACGCAACTTTTTTTTCACAAGCGATTGCAGTCATGAAATATAAGATCGATCATGTTTATAACGTTAAAAAGAAGCTGAAGAACACCTCAATTTCATTCAGTATGATCTTGGTGACATCCCCGCAGGCACAAGAGTGCTGCTCTAGAAAAAAAGATCGGATCAGTTTTATCGCCAAGGACTTCTGCAACTTACAAAGGAGTTAGTTGAGGAGGCTCTTCATCTCGCGTCCTCCAATAAATTTAACACCGAATTAGACGTTTCTCGACGATAATCTTGATAAAAACAAGCTAGTTGTTCCTACAGATCTCTAGCAATCAAGTAGCGAAACCTGTTGTAGTGAATAGAGATTGGCCGATTAAAATCAACATCACGCCATTCAATTTCCTAACACAACTGACATGAACTGTCGACTGGTAAGATAGTTTCATTGTTAAGCAGTTGTCCAATAAGACGTCCATGAAATCGTGCAATCCAGAGAGGCTGTACTGAATGTATTTAAAATCATTATTTCTGAATCCATCGTTAGAGAATTGCAAAATTTACTTTACACTTTTAAATGTCTCCAAAATTTTAAAAAATTTTTCAAGCTCCTCAAAGATTGAAACCAAGAAAACATCCAGAAGTTGCTTGAAAAACACTTCAACATTTCTAATCCCTTGGAGCGATAGTTGAAGATATCACTCCATCAATCTTATTTCCCTGCGCTTCAAATGTAACAGAATCTTTTCCGACGATCGCAAAGTTTTTAATTTGGGTTCCTGAATGGACGCTTGTCAATGATTGCAGTCATGACGACTTTAACAAAACAGGATGTAAAGGGCAAATGGGACACAATTTCGATAACCCATCAAGTGTGTGACGTGTGCTCAATGCTATAATCTGATAAAGTCTGTTCACTAATGTAAATTTGCTTAAATACTAATGTGACTAAAAACTATTTTATTATTTGGAGGTACTATTCCGGGTCTGAAGATTACACTATAACGATGTTTCTGGGAAAAAAGTCATTCGAGAAAAGACAATTTGCCTCGAAGCAGCAACTAGTAATATTTACGTCACATTATCGTGTCTTTCGTTTTCGAACTGGCAAGCGTACTTGTATTTACTTTATCGAAATCATAAATATTTCCTTATTTCTGCTACCAACATGTTGTAACCGCCACTGTTGTAAAGGCCTATAATAAAGTCTCATCTTTACTCTGACGGAAACATTGATGATTTTCTGTTTCAGTTTATTGCGTGGCTGCGTGGAAAATATCACGTAAATCTGCCGAGGACATCTTTGCGTCGACGAGATTAAAGAAAGAATTCAAACCTGTTTGTCATTGTAAACAAATCAATCAAAGTTCCTTGTTTTCCGTCAAATAGTCACAAAAGTTTGGCATTTTATTTGGTATAACTGCGAGACATTACAAACGCCATAGCAGAAGAATATATTCACGATGAGTAGTAATGAGACGTACTCTAAAGAGCAGTGTTCATCAAACGAAACCGTTGAAATGCTACCGATGGAACCGGTAAGAAGAAGACGTGAGGCTGGTAACGATGCAAACACTTACTCCGAAAATTCAATCTCAGTTTCTGACAAGGCAACAGAACCAAGAAATTTGAAATTAAAGATTCAAAATAAGAGTCTGGTCATAGTCCAACAATCACTTGCCAAACAACAGCAGTTTAACTGGAAGCACACTTTCCTTAAACGAGAAACAAAACGTGCCGACGGGGGTGAAGTACAATCAGACTCTGCTCCAGAGACAAAGGGTAGCCTTCTTGACCAATACAAGCGACCAGCGGAATTGGTGGCCTGCCAACTTCAAACTTTTGGGGAAACGCAACACTGTTCACAGACTGAGTGGCGCGATACTTTCATTGCCAGCGTTGACCCTCCAATACCTTTGATCGAAAAACAGGGATATCTAAACGGATAAGAGTGCGAGAGAATCCTGGAAAAACTTGAGCTTCTGCCGGACGCAGGAAAATTTGCTGAGTATAAGCACCTTGTTACTGCGTGTAGTAGTAGTAGATCTTTATTTAAACTCGGTTAAGAATCTTCAGTTATATTAATAGTATTTTAATTACAATCATTTGTAAAAAGTTAAAATAACTATAAAAACTGATTTACAAGATTGCCGAGTGAGAATCGAATGTTTCAAGTGTGCGATTGATTTCCTTCTTAAACTGCCCAATTGATAACTAATATTCTCAGGAAGAGAATTCCATAGTAAGGCACCGCTATAGCCAAAGCTACGTTTCAAATAGTCAGTACGCGGCTTGGGTAAGTTTAACTTACGGAAAGAATCACGCAAGTCATAGTCTGTGTGTTGCTCAATGAATAAATCATGCAAGTACACTGGGGCTAACCCGTTGAGGGATTTAAACATCATTATAGCTTTCTGCTTTCTTCTTCTTAATGATAGCTGGTCCCACTTCAAAGTTTCAAGAAGCAGGCTTGAGTTTACCTCACAGTTGGCTTGCAGAATAACCCTAGCTGCTCGGTTTTGCAATTTTTGTAGTTTCTCACATGATAAGAACTCAATCCATCCCAAACGGGGGCACAGTAATCGAAATGAGGTTGGATTAAAGCGTTATATATTTGTACTGCAGTGGACTGAGAAATGAGGGATCTAATGCGCCTCAGAGCACCTATTGCCGAGGATATCTTTCTGCATGGTTCTTTGATGTGATTAGACTATGAAAGTCGGTCATCAATAATTAAACCTAATGATTTGGCATGCTCAACCCTGCCAATTGGATGGCCATCTAGTTGGATATTAATCTCACTACAATTTTCTGCAAGAAACTTTTGACGAGTACTAATCACCATAAACTCAGTTTTCACGATGTTTAGACTAAGCTTATTGGCTTTTAGCCAGCTATAAAATAGAATTTGTTGCTTGTTCGAGTTCGGCAAAACTGCAACCAGGGACGGTGATATTAGTATCGTCAGCAAACATTTTTGCGCAGGAAATATCGAGGCAATTAGGAAGATCATTTATATATATTAAAAAGAGCAGAGGTCCCAGTATACTTCCCTGGGGAACCCCGCAGGTTAATCTACTTGCACTGGATAACGCTCCATTGACACTGCATTTTTGGGATCTATTAGATAATTAAGACGCAAAAAATCGTAGAGCACTTTGATCAACCCCATAGTTCGCAAGTTTCCCCAAAACTATTTCGTGATCGATTGTATCAAAGGCCTTTTAAGATCAATAAATAGCACGCCATTTAAGAGACCGTTGTCAATATTAATTGACCAGTTAGTGGATGGATCGCCCTTATTGTTACTGTACTTACGATTTATTCGTGGAGGCAAGGATTCATCCGTTTCCCAGTCGGCAATACCCTAATCACCTCTCAAGTAATTAATAAAATTTGTTGCAAGTCGGACAGTTCCTTTAGTGTTGAGGTGTAGACCTCTCCTGTTTAGGTCATGTTCAGGAGAGATATATATTTGAATGGTCGACATACCCCCATCCGTTTTGATTGCAAAAAGTTTTAAGTATCTTGTTGACACCTGACACTTTAACGGCGAGGACTTCATCTTCAGTCCTCGGAATAATACCAATGCGATAATAAATCGCATCAATTAGAACCAATCAGATTACAGGGACCACCAGTGATTTCAAAATGGGTGTAATAAACCACCAAATCACTGGCGTAGTTTTCTTGTGTAATATTTGTCAGATACAAACAGTTCAAAAAAGAAAGATAATCTACGATGAGTTGAGAACATTTGAACTCTAAATACTAACATTGACTTTGGGAGACAAACATGGAATAAATTTTATTTCTGAGAGAATTCACCGTTTCATTCGAGTTATTCCGCCCTAAGTGACCGTTCCATACAACCCGCACAGGCCGATGAGACTCAGTCAAGGATGACCACAACCACTAAATAGAGACCACCGCTGAAAAGCGTTGAAAGTGAGAATGTTTAAGAGGAAAAAAAATCGGGAATTTTACAACCGACCGGTTGCAGGTTCGACTATTAATTCCAAATTAGCCAATCAGCCCACGTGAAGAGCTCTATTCACCTGTATGG